TTAACAACAATATATATATATATATATATATATATATATATATATGGGAAAGTATAGAATGATACCATTTACCTTTAGTACAAGGTGGTCACATTAATCTAGACCATTGGATGGGAAAGTGGTTGGCCGCAATTATTCCATTGACCAAGCTCAAACTTCAAAAGAAATTTTCTCGAACTTTGTGACACATCCAAGCTATTAGCTATCAAATTTCACATCGGATGGTTGTAAGTAATTATGACCATTTTGTATCAAAGATAAATGGTCTCATTGTATATAATCCCTATATATATATATAGGGGAGTGATTTCATGCAATAATGAAATAATCTTCAAAAACCATGTTAGGGCCATTTGTTTGACCCAAATTTAAAAATATACACTCTTTTCATTCTATTGAACAATCACACAAATATAAAAATTTGAAAACACAACCTAGAAAGTATTTTTAAGCCCCAATTAACATAGGCCATCTATTTTGGTGAGATACTTAGATCTAGGCCTTAGAAGAATCATTTTTCTTTCCAAAACTTTTAGATAACTTTATTATCATTAGATTAACGTTAAAAAAGAAAATATTGATTATGAATTCATAAAGGCCTAGATCGTGCATTTTTTTATTTTATATTTTGAGATGGATTATTAAGATGAAGAGAGAGTGTGTGAAATTTTGGGTCATACAAATACCACAAACATGATTATCTAGAAGTGTGGTTTCATTATATTATAATGGCATAGTGACCTGATCCCTAATATATAATAATATAACTAACACACACACATGGACACATGCGCACACACACACATATGTATGTATGTATGTATGCATGTATTTATGTATGTATTTGTGAATGTATGTATACATGTGTAATGTGTATGTATATGTATATGTATATCTATATGTATATGTGATCCATTGATCATAATGCACAATTTCATGTTTTGTTCATAATAGAATTTTTATATTCATTAGTTTCAAACTTACAACTACTGTAGAAGTATCGGGAATCAGAATTGGTGTCAAATCGTGTGGAATACAGTACATTTTTTTTTGGGAGTGTGGAATCCAGTACATTTAGAATCTAGTACATTTAGCATAAACATGTACGTTTGCATCATAGATCATTGCAATATATACTGAAGGATCTGATTTTTTATCAATACGCATTTAAAATCTCAAGCTACAAAATCTAACATATACAATCTAACTTTGAATAGGCTGATCAAAGATTTTCACTGAGCCCTAATTTAAAAAATTGTGATTTATTTGCAATGGTTGATTGATCTTCAATCAAATTTGTTCTCAGAACCTATTTTTAGGTTCTTCATCCAATCATAGGTCTGTATCTCACAAAAATAAAAATAAAATATAATAAATGTAGGATTTGTGATACCTAAATTTTTTAATTTAATATTCATCCAAAGCTTTCAAGAGCTTAGATCACCTAGATCCGAACTCTAAACACAAATCTGGTTTAGGGATTTCACTTGGGGTTGTCTAAGGAAGCATTGATAAGGATTGGAAGACATCAATTGTACCAAGCGGGAATATTAAGATATCAGCCTCGATATTTTGGGTAAGTTGCTTTTTTTAATTTAAATTCATAAAAGTGATTGATTTTTTACAAACTACAAAATCAATTGTAATTGATTTATAAGTCATTTCATTACATGTTAATATTTTTTTCGATTTTTATATTTTTTGGATTTTTTTCTTTTCTGTATTTCCCAATCTTTTAAGCCCATAACATCAATTCTTTCATATTCCAAGTGGCATACACTTTTTTTGTTGTATCATTGGATTTTTTCGGATTTTCGAATTTTTTAACTATTTTTATGGGTTTTTGTCAAGTGATGGAGGGAAAAATTCTTCTAATTTTGTATTTTTATTCAATTCCAAGGATGTACATTGTAGTTTTAGTTTTAGGGTTTTTTTAGTTTTTAGGAATTCTAGTGACTTTTTAGATATTCTAATTAAAAGTTCGGGGAGTTTAGTTTCAGGTTATACTTAAGTTAGAATCTTTTGGTTAAAAGATAATTGTATAGAGAAATATTATCCAAACAATAAAAATTTTCAATATAAATAAGGGCATGGATGAGCTAGAGAGTCATTCATGTATTCCTGTTTAAGAAACAAGACTTTGTCTTGTAAAAGAAGCCTAAGGTTTGAAACCTAAGTGGGAGAAAGCCTTAGGGTTTCTCCAAAATTGTTTGTGTTTGGCTTGTTTCTGGCTAATTTTATTGTTCCCTCAAATTTCCCTGCTTCATCAAGTCACTCGTCCATTCCAACTCGCCCAAGTCACTCAGACCATCCAAGGTCTTAGTTGCGATGCTGAATTACTTTCGCACAAACTGATTTGTATAGGAAACTAAGGAGGATGCACATAAGAACAATAGAACAATGTATAGAACTCGGCTCAGCCATGGAACCCAGCCACCAACCTTCCCGAGTTACTCGGGCGAGTCCGAAATCCACCCGCCCAAGTTTGGGAATGCTCGAAAATGGCCAAAAAGAAGTTAAAAAAAAATAAGGAAAAATGCTTAAAAATCCGTTAAAACCAGGAAAACCAATAAAATGAATAGAAAATATACATATAAGATAAGAAAAGGTTTTCACAAAGTAAAAAGAAAAATTTTTTCAAAATATCGTTTGATCAGAAAATAAAAAATATAGAAAATAAGAAAAAACATTAAAACATATAGAACCCAATAAGCTATAAATCAAAAGATTGAATCAAATATAATTAACTTTAATTATATTCACATATTTTTTTGTTGATTGTGTATCCCCAATTTTGAGAGTAAGTCAGGGAAGGCAACCTGCCAAGGCCTGAGTTATCCCAGCGAGAGTAAGTTGACTGAGTCGCATAGTAAAACATTGCTATAGAGCAATCAACCAACATGATATTGACAGAGAGGTAGTACCATTTGAGAGTAATCTCCCACTCCTTTGACCCATGCTCAACAATTAGAAAACAGTATAAAGATAGTCAACTAACAGCTCCATTTCTGATACAGATGTGATGCAAGAAAAGGCACCTTACTTGGCAGAAACCCGCCTCGCCCTTAGGCCAAGGCCGAGTTACACGGTGGAGTCTCAGAACAGTGATAAACAGAGTCAAAGAAGCATAGAAACAAGAAATCAGAACAAGCATCCAAGGAATAGCAGAAACCCTACGTCAATCTCAAGCCTAGAATAACAGGTCCGATTACGCAATAACACCTCCATCAACTTAAATAACACTATGAAAATTGCACAATCCAATAACAGCTCCATTCTGACAAAGATCCAACGTAATAACTAAAGGAAATGATCATCTCAGCATAGTGGATAAAGATAAACCCTAAAAAGATTAACATATACATTCTAAATCAGCTCGAAATAAACTCAAAAATTAATCAACCAAATAATAGCTCCATTTCTGATACAGATTCAAACCTCACAATCACCAGAAGCATATAAACCACAATCACACTCCATTAAACTCTAACACACAATTACAACAAATAAACCATAAAATAGTGAAAAAATTGGAGTCTGTCCAGTATCAACCCGCTATAAACTGATTAACAAGCAAAAGAAGTAAACCAATGGGCTGAAATGCAATAAACCACAATAAACAGAAGAAACCCTAGGTTGTGTTAACACCTAGATCTTATTTATTGAGAGAAAAAACATAACCCTAAACTTCGAAAACCAGATAAGGTTTTGAGGATGCAATCACTGACCATGTTTGCATAGATCTGAGAGGGCGGGAGTTTGAAAGACGAAAATTTCGGGATTCGCGGTTTATATACAATGGCTCAGGTGACCGAAATAACGGTATTTACAATACTGCTGTTTTTTCATTTTCCTTATTCAGTAGACCAATTAACGAATAAAAAACTTAGACTAATGCCTGTCTGAATAGAACAATTTGCAACTGTAACCTTCGCTTTAGAAAATGTGGACCTAATAGTTATCTGCAAGTGTAACCTTCGATTTAGAAAATGTGGACCTAATAGTTATTCCTCCTAAAAACAATTTAATATATTACAAATTTACAATTTAGAAGGGTCCTATGGTGAAGTGCAATGGTGATATTTTTTATCTATATTAATCAAAGCTAAAATTCACATAAGGACGGGTTGTATTACCTTTTGGTCCATGTTTAAGAAATTCTTTTTTTTTTTTCTTAAATTGTTTTTTTGGTGAGTATGTGAGGAGACCCACTCCTAAAAAGGAATTGAGCCGAGGATATTGCGTTTCAAATCATCAAGCGCTAACCAATTAAGCCCATGCTCTTTTCATTCTCTAATTTTGCTATTGACTTGATGAGGTAAGCATCAAATTGCCTTTTTTTATTATTATTGAGTTTATATAAGGGGAGACCTAAACAATCAAATTAAGGTGCTCCTTAAAAATTCACTAGAAAATATTCTATTAATGCTCAAAAATCCTCAAATTGATCATCTCAACTTCAAGATGTATGGACATGAAAAAAAAACAATGTTGTCGTATTCGTTTCAGAGTCTTCTTCAATTTGGTGAGAAAAATGAAGCAAATTGGTGCTTCGGCCAATTCGAGGGAAGACTTCGGACTTTTATTTTTATTTTAATATAAATAAATTATATATTTATACATATAATATATATACAAATAATGAAAAAGTAATAAAACTAAAAACAATTAAACAAAAACTTTTATATAGGTATTTCATTTCTGATTAAAGCAACCTGAAGCTTCGACCGAAGCAGACCCAAATATACCTAAATCTGACTGAAGCAGCCCGAATCTGATTGAAGCGACAACACCATGTTTCTCTTCGCTTCCGTTTATGATTAAAAACTGAAGGCTTCGGCCAAACTAAAGTGAATTTGATAACATTGGAAAAAATATATTTAAGTCTTGAAAATAATTCATCTTGTAATGCATCTCCTAAACCATCAAATTCAAAGATTTTCAAGTGTTTATAGATGGTTTCAAAGGCAAATAGTGGGTCCAAAAGTACATGGTTAGAAGCAATAATAAAAGATATGGAAACTTATAGTCATGCTGAGAGTATGCCCCTTAATAGAGTAGAATGACGGATCAGGATTTATGTAATCGACCCAATTAATTGAAAAAATACTATGACGATGATAATAGATAAATAGATATGCTTGATCAACATTATTTTTTAAGCTTTAAATTTAATAATTATATATAAAAATATAATTTATCCATCGCAAATAAAACTAGTACTAGAACAATACCTTTCAAAACTATTTGAAGTTGTACCTTACTTTAATTATTTGGAGCTTCAATTTTATACAAACCACACCGTTTAACATTTGCGTGTTTGCACCTACTTCAACTCAAGACTAAGATGTTTTTTTTTTTTAGTATATTGAAATCAAATTAAAATATATTAGTCAAATGTTGAAATTATATATTTATTATAGTTAATTTATGTGGGGAAGTGATTTGATAGGGCTGCAACACTATCAAAAAAAATGTAAAGCCTCACCGAAAATTGTAATTCGAGAGTTAGAAAACCTTCAAATTGATCATCTCAGCCTTTATTATTAAAGTTGTGTGAAAATATAGGATTTTAAGCCCTAAAAATAGTGTATATTGTACAAATGATCTAAACTAATCATTTCACCCTAAAAATAAGTGCTCATATATTCGTAAGATATGTATCATTCTTTGAGCTTCAAATTTCATAGCTCGTGTTGGAAATTAATTTTAGATCTATCAATTTCAATGCCCGAATTGCTTTCCATGCGAAGATTCACTTTATTTTCATACAGCTTAGGTCTTATAGAAATTACATCTTTTGATAATTTGTATTTTTTTTTCTTTTCTTTGGCATTTTTTGGGTCCTCCGATGGATAAGATATCAAACTACCCTAATTCATGGGTGGTTCAGTGTTGCAGGACCACCCCACAATCTGATCTATTGTTTTGTATGTGGCAGTCCGATATTTTATATATCAGACGAATCTATATTTGGCTTTTTTTTTTTTTTTTTTCTTTTTTCCTCTTCAAAGTATGACAATCTAAACATCATTCCTATTTTTATTTGTAAAAAAAAGGTACCTTGGAAGTCCACTAATGACAAAGAGTAAAAAAGAAAAAAAGAAAAAAAGAAAAATAGAAAATAAAATAGTTAAAATTTTGCAACATTGTACTAGAGCATAATTGGAAAATTTTAAAATTTACTAAAAACTAACCTGGTAAAATTTATGAAAATATGGATTAAAAGGTAGTATAATTCGGTAGATCCAACCCAATCCTCATGAAAATTTTATGTCAAAAAGAATTTAATAAAAAATCTAAATATTTTTTTTTCGTGAATTTCTATAATCAAAAAAACAAATGGTCCCTTCAATCAAAGTATAATCCGACCTGCCGGATTCGAACCAGCGACCTAAGGATAACGGCCATACACTACAGTCCTCCGCTCTACCAACTGAGCTAAGGTCGGTTGATATGTTAGAAAACGATTAGATTATTAATGTCCAAGAGTTCTATTCGGTACGATTTGACATCTCTTTGATTGTTTTGAGGGTCTCTCTCTCGAAGATTAATTTTCTACACTTTCTCGTGCGTGTGTAATAAATGGTAATTTAACATTTTACGGAAAGTAACTCCTGATTAACATGATCATGTGAAATGTGATCCTAAAGATCACCTCCGTCCAAAAAGTGGGTTGAATGGTGATGGGGGAGATTGCAATTGACATGTAGTGTGGGTGCTACATACTCTTCCATCACCATCCAACATATTGACCGAGTGTTTCTAAGTGCTTTCAAGGATCATGATATGCCTTCCATGAAAACCTACTCAGTACGATTTATCGTTGGTATGTAATTTAGAGGTGTGGTTTGTCTAGAGTCGGAGGCTCCAAACAATCAAAGTAAAGCACACCTTCAAATAATATTGAGAAATATAGTTTTTACACTGAAAATCTTTGTGACAGTCTTAAAATATATTTTTATATCTAATTATAAAATTTAAAGCTTAAAAAATAGTGTAGATCAAATAGATCTATGAAAACTTTAAGATCTTGAAAATTGACCGTCCAAAAAATACATTACAAGATGCACTATTTCCAAAACGTGATCCATTTTTTTCTTATGTTTATGCATCTTGTGGTAGAGATGATTAAATTGAGAATATTTGGGCATCAAAACAACCTCTTCTAGTGAAATTTTTGATATACGCTCTAGTTTGATTGTTTAAAGCCTCACACTTATATAAACTTTTTTCAAAGATAAATGATCTCTTTGCATACAATCCCAATAACCAAACAGCGGTTTGGGTTACAATGTTTGTGTAACCCTTATTGCATTCATACGAGCACATATTAGATCTCATATCGCCGTGAACCTTTACAACAATTGCCCTTAAGTCTTCTATATGCTAAAAATTACGTAAAATATTTGCCCTTACTTGATGGACCAAAGGATCACGAATGTAATATTTTGCAATTTGGAATCCATTTGATTGTCAAAATTCTCCACTTTGTGTTTTTTAAAATATAAAATCTACTTTAAAAACCAAATTTTCTATAGTATGTAATACACAATAAAGAGCTTCGTTCACTATAACGTGGTCATCCTAGAATAAGTTGGGGCCTTGGCAGGTTTGGGACAATTACATTTATGTGATAAAATTTAAAGGGAGGTTTGTAAAAGGTACCCAACTAAAGCTCATTTTTAAATTTTGTCGGAAGACGTAGTTTTCAAATAAAAAATCTTACAATGACTTGAAAATCTATGTCCAACCCTAATTAAGAAATTCTAAATTTCAAATTTTGAGGATATAACCTTTTCAGATAGTATGTTAACTTCAATAAAATAAACTATTCTAAGAGCGGCTTATGTGCACTTAAAAAAAAAATGTCTTAAGATTGTATAAGGATATGTTAAAATAGAAGATCGTGTATAGAACGCCCAATTTTTAGATGATAAGACCTGAGCGTTAAAAATTTAAAATTGAAATTTGGTGCGGTTTATACAAGATGGCAACCTTAGCTGTAGAAGAAGTTGTGATGATTATACCATTCATTTTAACTAAATATGGTCGATTTAATATATTGTTTGAAACATCATTAAAATTTGATATATCTTTAATAGTGTCATAGCTATGCTCTTCAGATCAAATAGATGGTACATATTACTATAATTTTTTGGGATTATATACAATGAGACCATGTAGAGTTCACAATTACTTGTGACCATCTGATGTAAAATCTAATAGTTTGGATGTGTCACAATGTTTGATAATTTTTCTATTAAACTTTTGAGTTTGGTCAATAGAAAAAAGTGCAGCCACCAAAAATTGGGGAAGTATAGAATGAGGCCATTTACTTTATTTATACAAATACGACCGGAGAAAGCACATAAGAGATCATTTACCTTTGATAAAGATGGTTATAATAATCATAACCATTAGATGTGAAAATGGGTGGAGGCAATTATTCCATTGAAAAAGATCAAACTTCAAAAAAAGTTATCTTGAAATTTTCTCCAACTTTATAATACATCCAAGCTAGCAAATTTACCATCAAATAGGAGTCAAGACCACCTTGTATCGAAGGTGGATGATCTCGTTACATATATTCCCATAGGTTTGCATTTTTGTTTTTTTTCTAATCATTACCCTTAGGAGTTATTTTCTCATTCTGTCTCCCTGTTAACCCAAAACACTCTCTCACAATCTATAATCCCAGTTTTATGTGAGAGAAGACACCCAATCTCCTCAACGAAAACCCCGCCAGATCTCTCAAGAAGCCTTCTGATCTTAAAAAAAACACACTCTCTCCCCCATGAACCCTAGTCTCTACCTCAAAAGGCCCACTCTTCATCAGTTACGTTTTTAATTTTCATGCAATCCTTGCTTTTACTTTCCCGTAATTTAATGTTATTATCATATTTATATTTTGGTTTATTGTTGACCCTATGCCCATCCTTTTTTTTTCCCCTTGTTTATGCCCTGGTTTTCGTTTATTTCTCTCTTTTCTTACTTAAGTTTAATTGTTTGCTGCAAAACTATAGATCTCATAAGAATAGATGTTTTTCCGGTTAATCAAAATAAGGATTTTCTTTTTGAACTACTGATGCAAGTTTGTTTTATTGGTTGTGCATCAATATTGGTTTATTTGAACTTTATTTCCTTTTTAGATATGGCTGTTTTTTTTTTCCTTCTTTCTCTATCTCTGTAACTATGCATTTTTCTTTCTAGTTATTTGCTTGATATTTGGATTGATGTGTGGTTATTTTGATTTAAGATAACTCATGAAATATCTTGAAGTTGGTTGTAAGATGCTTTGGATTTTGTTGGTTCTAGTTGGAAATTGTTGCTGTTTTTATCTCTTTGCTGTTTTTCTCTTACCCTACCCTGCGTCTACTGCTTTATCTCTTTCATTGATATTTCTAGCGTGCATCCTCTAATTTTCCTGATCTTCAGTGCATATTCTTTCATTGCTTTGCTGCTTGGTCATGATCTCTCTCTGTACTGCATCAAGTGTTTTTTATTTTTCATTGTAGAGCAGTTTGGTGTGTATTCTTTTATTTTACTGCTGTTTGGTGTGTGTTCTTTCAGCACCATGCTTTAATGTACTTTTTTATTTCTTTCTTGCTTTGAATGTGCTTCTCTCTCTTTCTCTCTTGCAAGTGTCCTGGGGTGTTTTCTTTCTATCTACTGCCGCATGACTTGTTCTCTCTAAAAATATGCAAAGTTGGTGATCTATTCATTTTGTTCGAGGAAGTTCAACTGGTAACGGAGATCTATGTTATTTAGTGCCATTTTTCTTGGTTGGTTTTCAAAGTATATGAAGCGTGCTTTTATATCATTTTGTGATTTATGTACTGATGTTTTCTGTTGAATGACTGATTTCTCCTGTTAGTAGAATCCTTGAATATCACATGCATGCATATTGTTACGTGGGTTATTATTTAATTAGGGTTTTTCCATCAGTTAAGTTTGTGGTAACTGGCTTTCAAAAGCTGCACTTACTTTAATTTGCATGGTGGAGTCCTTTCTTCACTTGAAATTGAATTGCACATCGTCATTAGATTTTCCCTCCCTTATTTATGTGCATTGGGGACTGATCACCCTATCAGTGGGTTTGGATTGAAGCCTTGAACATACACTCTCAAGGTTTTTCCATATGAAACACTCACTTTTCTCAGGGTCGAAAGTTTATTTTTCACAAGTCTGCTAAAATAATAAAGATCAAGTCAAAGTTTATGCTATGGGTTTCTTGTCTGATGTGTATGAGTTTGTAATGTTTTATTGTTGGCTTATCAAACTTGTGTTGTAGTGAAGTTACTGTTTTATTGAAGTTTGGGAGATTTTCTAGAAAGAAATGTGGTGAATTAAAGGAAAAGTGTGTGTAAAACTAGTACTTTCTACTTTCTAGTTCCCCTCATTGTCTGAGTGCATGCATCACTCTTATATGCTCTGTATAAGTGCATTTGTATATGTTTTTTCAGAGTGTAGTTGGATGTGTTTTTAGCGTTCCGGGATTATACTAACAATATATTCTATACCATTTATTTTCCATGTTGTCTTATACCATGTGACTTGATTCATGAGCTATTATTTTCTCAATTTATCTAGGAAATGGTTCCTTCTTGTTTTTTCTTCCTATCTATAGTTAAAGGATTTTGCATTGTGAACTTGATATCAAAGCCAATAGTTCATGCATACATAGAGGCTCCTTATTGATTGCTGATTTGGTTTGGAAGGACATTTGGCTTGTGGCCCAAGGAGATGCTTGGCAATCATTTGGGTAATTAGGTTTAAAAAGAATACAAACTTTTTTATGTCAATGCTTTGAAATTCTAAGCTAATTGTCTAGGGTAGGATCGATTCCTTTTAAGGTGAGGCGGTTGTGTTGGTTGTGGAATATATTTTTATAGCCATGAGACAAGCTTGAGGACAGAAACATGCCTAACCCAATACCCATGAGGTTATTTGTATCTTCAATTCCAGTAAAGTACATCATTTGGCAATGGTTTACCTTTCTAAATTTGGCTTGCGCAACATGCCCCACTTGTCTGTATGCTTTGTATGTGTGCATTTTCCATATGCATTGTAGCAATGCATTTTTCTCAGTGCGTGAAGCACTCTTATATGCTTTGTATGATTGTTGAATGAATTCATTTTTATAAGCTCTGTAGGAGTTGCACTTTATATGGGGGGTTTAGATGCTTTGCGTGAGTGCACTTTGTATGAATGTATACATGCTTTGTAGCATATCACATTCTTCCCTTTCTCTACAGGGTGCAAGTAAAGAGAGAGAGATGTCTTCAATTGGGACAGCAAAGGGGCTCTTAGAAATCGCCAAGTTTGGATTGTATGTGACCATCCCCATAATTCTCATGTACAATTTCGCCTATGATACAAAGAACCTCCAAAGAATCATGGGCAATGTGAGCTTTTCTGTCCTCTCTTTATTTATACGCACCCCAATATTTTATTTCCTGTTTCCTTTAATAACTAATTCCTGAGAGAGATTAGCTTATTTTATTTTTAGTCATAAATAGACATAATTTCGGTCCATATATTTCAAATTGATCACATTGGTGTCATGGAAACTTCTAGTTTGGTAGGTAATAGCTTTGTAGAAAATATGTGGTTTAGGATTACAGGGAAACTGGGATTTTTCTATAGAGTGTTTTCTTGTGGTTTTAGAATAACTAGAGGCTATAGCTACTTTTAGGTTTTTTCAATAACTAGTTTGATTAAAAAATTATTGTTATTTTTTATTTAGAGAGTTAGAAGGATTTTCTTGCATTGTTTTTTACCGGATCTGTTACAGTTTAGGTCAAATCAAGATGAGACTCAAAAGTGAGAAGCAACCATGGAGGACGATATTAATAGCAAGGAGAAAATATGATTTGATTCTTTCTCTTGAATTATTGGTTCTATTCGATTATGTCTCTAAGATGATGTAATTCACTTTCAAAGTCCTAAGCAGAGAATCCCCAATATAAGGATGTTCATACTATATATACCACCAAGGTTATTTTCTATCGCTCTTATATTTCAATTCAGAATTGGAAGCGCTATTGTGGGTTTTGTTCTGTCTTGTTATGTATTTTTCACTTGAGAATTCTCACCCCCCAAGTAAAAATTGATGGTCTTGGTGAACAATTATGCAGTCTAGAGTTTTCCTCTATTTTCAGTAGAGTTGCATTTCAATCCTAACTTTCTTTGTGTATAAATAATCCTTGTCATTCAACTAAAAATTATTGATATATAAAGGGTTATTAAATAAAGTGAATAAATAGTAATAAGATGAAGCACAAACTTTTGCAAAAGAAGAGCTTAGCCGCAAAAGGAATTTGATTTTTGTAGACCAAACCCTGGTTTGTTGTTTTCATTCAAAGTTGCTAGAAGTGGGACTTTTTCATGCTTATCTTTTGGGTTATGATAACTTATGTGTTGGCCTTTTTCCATATATAATGCTTCCCATGATGGAACTGAGTCAAGGTTTAGGATCTGGTGATTTCAGTAGAACCACATTTTGAGTTAGAGAATCATGTTGCTTCCATTTCTTTATGATTCCTTGTGTATCATTTACCTTTCCAATCACTGACTATTTGATCCTCTACTTTCAATTTGACCATCATTTACAAGCACTCTTAGTGGAAACTTGGCTGCAGCTTTAACCTTATTGGAAGTTGGAAATTTATATGTTGCTACATCATATTTTCTATCGCTGTATACATTCCTTGTAAATTTTGGATTAACGGTTATGTCTTTGTTGATTTGCCCCTTGATGGCATTTAACCTTGATGGGGTCCCCACCAGCATTTTCTCCCATGCTGGCCCTCTTTTTCATCCTTATTGAGACTTTCTCCAAGGTTGCTTTTGTAGTGTTGATGACCTTATTGTTTGTTACTTGCAGAATTTGCAGTTTTAGCCTTGTAGGCATGGTTTCTTTGTAGCTTTGCGTCGGTTAGTGTGACATCTTTCTAGGTTGCCAAGTTTTTGACTCTTAAAATCCTACTCATAGCACTCTTGAGGCAACATCCCAATTCTTAGCACATTGGTGACCTTTGAGCCTATCAAATGGCAAGGTTTAATAGGTTAGCCTTAAAATGGGTTTAACCAGTCAAGACCTTCTTTGGATGAATGCCTATCCCGGTTTCTTATTGTTGAATAAAACCATCAGGAGCTTATTGCAAAGTGAATTGTCACAGTTTCTGATTAAGTCTCGTAGATTAATAAACCTTGGAGCATTTCAGTGGATGTACTTTGTAAGACAAGGGGAGTGATCTTGTTGACATTTCTTGCTTGGTTGAGGTTCCACTTCATGAATAGTGCTTACATTGCCCCCAATAAATAATAGGGGCAGTGTACTCTTTCTTTCTTTCTTTAACTGTTGCCACCCAAATTTTTGAAAATACCAGGAACTTAATTGTAGATATACCCAATGCTAGTCATATGGCCACATAGAAGTTTTGTTCTTTCTTATATCTTTTATTTGTTTTTATCCTTATTCTTCTATTTATTACTGCTGAGGCTTTCTTGTTTTGGTTTTATTTGCAGCGGTCCTATGTGGTGTACCCTCCCGAGGGACCTAGGCCTCCACCACCGGAAGAGATTCGTGAGATGGCACGAAGAAACAGTCTTCGTTGATGCTTTCGTTTTCATATTCGAGATCATGGTGTGAAGTATGAACATCCAGTTACATGGTTCATTTCCTCTTTGTTCTTAATATTACTTCTAACAGTAATCTTCTATTAATTAACTTTGTTTTTTTGGGGTAAGTAATAATTTGCTATTGCAATCTCAAATATTGTATATACCAAGTTCAGACTGTATTAGTTGGAATGAAGAAGGGTTTATGAACTGACTATCCATGATCCTGCAGATTAATACTTCTGAATTCTTACGTGTTTACTTTTATTGCTTCGTCTGGAAATTTTCATAATGTGGTCGGCATGAGAAAAATTATAATTTGTTTGAAACTGTAGATTTATTGGGAATAGAGACTCTGTTCTTCAAATATCTGTGTTTTGAAAAGCAATTCTGGGTTTTTTGTAGTCCATTTGATCAATTTAACTTGCTTTTTGTTGTTCATTGCGTGGAACTTGTTTGATCATTTGCTATGGTTGTAGTTAAATGTGAATTTTCTTTGCCAAAAATAAATGGTCTCATGGTACACAGTTCTATAGACACATGATATGTATGGAACCCCATTTCTTTGGCTGTTATCCTAACTATTGTTCTTTTTTAAATATATATAGTTTTTTAATATGAATAATGACTATTGTTCATTATTTTTAAGATGGAAAGAAATTCTTTTCATTTTTCCTTTGGTTTGTCCTTTTGGGGCAGCGCATGCCTGCTGTTTGACTTAATGAACTAAATTGCAAGTTCTTGATGTTCCGGTCAGTTTAGCTCAAAGAATGGCAAATTACCACTTTATGGTAACTATGGTTTGGGGTTTTTGAGTTTGGAAAATTTACGCTTCTGGGTTGCATTAAGTTGAATTTTCTCTCGTAAATTGGAAAGCAGATAAATAGAATTATTAAACTTTGTTTTGATCGGCTGAAACTGGGACGGATGTAATTATCATCGGTAGTTATTCTATCAATTTCAACCAAATTTTGAAGGAAAAAGTTTATACAAGGGTGAGGCCTAAACAATCAAGTTAAGGCGCACCTAAAAAATTCACTAGAAGAGGTGGTTATGTTGTAAAAAAATTCTTAAACCGATCTTCTTGACTTCGAGATGTGTGAAAATGAAAAACAAATGGCTTTCAAGTTTTGGAAGTAGTACATCTTGTAATTTTGGTAAAAAAATCCTGAAAAACTAAAAAATCTCGAAAGATTTGTAAAAAATGTTTAAAATTTACATTCGTTGTTTTTTTATTTTGTGACATAAAAAAAGCAAAATAAATAAATATTATAAGGAAAATTTGTTAAGAGAAATTGATCAGGTACTTGAAGCAATACTTTTTCAATGATCAATATATAATAAATATATATTAATATTATATATTATACATAATATGTAATTAATATATACTATATAATATGAATTACATTAATAAAATAAATACAAATATATAATATGATATAATATTATAAAATAATATAATATTTCAACTCAAGACCATGTTTGTTTCTTTGGGTATTTTGAAATTCAATTAAAAGTATAGGTAAAATATGAAATTGTTCATCTCTTTGTGACAATTTTGATAAATTTCTCTCTCTCATATCTATGTCTGTCCCCTTCGGGGGTTGGTGGTATAGGTATTAGATTGAAGATCAAATCAGATGAACAACGAATAAATTTTATATCTTCCGGTGTTGAGGGACTTATGGGCTTGGCACGCTGTCACGCCCGACCAACTCTGGTGCATTTGAGTCTACTCGCCCAAGGCGGCAAATCCTACCGTTAGCAAATAAAAATTTGGAAAAATTGTTTCATGCGGGCTGGACCGCATTTCTACAATATGCGGTCCAAAGTTATAAAGCATCCATCTTAAAGATGGATGCAAATAGGTGGTCCATCTAAATAACAGTTGTAACTAACGGTCCAAATGTTTTCTTAATGTAATTATTATTTATAGTTTTCAATTATTTTATTTTTTCATATTCATAATCTTCATGTTAAAGGTTATATATTCTCTAAAAATTTGGATCAAATTATATTTTAAAAATATATCTATTGCCAAGCACTCATTTCTACAATATGCCGGCTGGCTACATAGAAACTGTGTCAAAAAATTTGTAATAATATATAAAATTTTAAGTAGAGAAATAAAAGAATAGAGAAAAGCAAAAAAAGAGAGAAATATATAGAAAATATTATAAGGACAGCTTTGCAGACTCTGCACTGTGACAGTGCACTTATCGGCCGATTTTTAGAATAAATCACCAATTAGTGAACAAATCAGCCAATTAGTACTGATTAGTCCGATTAGTCGGTCGATTAGTGCATTGAAAAAAAGAATCTTGCATACATGACAGTTGGAATTGGGCCAGATCGGGATCGGCTAGTGACCGATCCCGAGTTAGCCGGCTCTTTTAAACACTGATACAAACCGCTCTTTTAAACACTGATACAAACCACACCCAAGTTTGACAATTACATTTTCTGTTTCTTTAGTAAAGTCGGAAGATGAAATTTGACGATTTTCAAGCTTAGAAATCAAGTTATTGACGACTTTATATTCAGGCGAATTTGTTCTATACATTGTGCTTATTCAGAGTATAAAGTTTTCAATGCAGCTTCATATTTATCAGTGTTAAGCTGAGTGTCTCAAATCAGTCCGTATTATCAACTTTAAGGTCATAGTCCAATCGGTAAATGGTGTGGGCTGCCCATGGGGAGAGAGTTCAGTTCTGATATAGCTCCAAAATCATTAGAGAGAGAGAGTATTAGGTACCATGACCAGCGTAGGAGGGAGAGCTATTGGTACTGTGATATTAAATACTAGAAGGAGTACATTGAAGAGTTGGAATTCATTATTTTAAGGAGAAGTCATCCAATTTAATACTTAATGACCAGTAGAAATTATGACCTTTTTGTGATAAAGATAAGGGAAAGTTGTCTAAAACCCTCAAAAAGGGATTTTTAAGCAATTTATCCCCAAGCTATTTTTTTCTAGCAACTTTTTTTCCCAAATCATGTTTCCTAGCAAATACCATCCAACTCAAAAAACAATAAAAAAAAAGAGACTAAAATACCGTCGTTTGGAAAAAACAAATGAGACTAAAATACAGTCCGGCACTTCACCATGGGGGTCCGGCATTTGGAAGAGGCACTTCGGCACTTAAGTTACTGATTTTGAACGGTCCGACACTTCACCATGGCGGTCCGGCGTTTGGAAGAGGCGGTCCAACGTTTGGAAGAGGTCATTCCGACATTTTACAAGTGCGGTATGACATTTGTTTTTGGATTAATGAGCGGTCGGTTCAACAAAATTGTGTATGGAATAGGCAGCCCGGCAGTATACAGTTTTGGTCCGACAGAACGGATGAGTCTGACAATAAACAACCGCCGTCTGGCCTTTTTTTTTATTGGGATTCGAAAATGATTTTTTAATGGTATTTTCGTTAAAAAAAAGAAGAACTTTTTGTATTGGGGAAAATATACAACTTGATTTTTGGAAAAATTAAGGTAGGGGTAAAGTGCCTAGAAAGTCTACTTTTGAGGGTTCTAGGCAATTTTCCCTAAAGATAAATGGTCTAGTAGTATATAATCCTTTCTTTTAAATAAAGACAAAGGGTTCTATACTTCCCATGCAGTATAGAAGAACCATCCTCCCTCTAACATCCAGCCGTCCAAGTTTGATCAAGAGAGCTATTCACCGTTTGATTTTAGATCCGATGTCTAAAAGTATTTTATTTTTAGTTTTTTTATATAAATTATATGAATATGAAATTTGGCATGTGCCGTCTTCTCATTGAGGCGCACCTATAAAAAATATTAAAAATAAATTTTCGATAAAATATAATGATTAAAATACCCCTTGAACGTTTCAAGAGTATTTTGGTCATTTTATTTTATTGAATATATATATATATATATTCGCTAGTGAGAGTTTAATAGAGGATTGGATGTCCAAATTTGGTGTCAAAATAGTTTACAGAAAAAAAATTATAAATAAAATAGTGTAGAGACGTGACATTGTGATTGGGGCAATCTTAACCCTCTATTCAGAATGGACGGTTGGATAAAGGTAAGTATATCGATTTTGTGCTGTGGGGAAAGCATATAAAGCTTGCCCTTAAATAAAATCCCTTCTGTTAAATAAAAGTAACCCATGTTTTTTGGCTCAACCCATGTAAATTATTTTGGGCAGGTAGAGAAAGAACCTTGCCTCTAAAGCATGTGAGAGAGAGAAAGAGAGAGACCATTAAAAAAAAGGATTGTATATAAAGAGACTATTTACAAGTTAGAATTATTTATAACCATATGATAGTTTGGACATGTCACAAAGTTTGAAAAAATTTCATTTGAATGTTGAACTTAGTCAATGGAATAAATACAGCCACCCAATTCACATCCAGTGGTCAAAGATTAATTGTGACCACCTTATACCAAAAGTAAATGATCTTATTGTACACATTTTCTTAAAAAAAAAAAACGAGAGTGTTTGTCTATACGAAAGAGATGACCATTAATACCATGACTATGAGAGAGAGTTCTCTATGGGGAAGGGGGAGAGTTGTTGTTACCACGACCATGACAGAGAGAGTTTTCAGTTGTGTAGGAGGGAGAGCTTTTAGCGCAGTGACCATGGACGGAGTAAGAGCTTTGTCCATGGGGGAGACACATAGGTACTGTGACCACAATGCGAGAGGGACCATGATCACCTTACCAAAAGCAACAAACTTGAAAGATAGAACAGATGGCTAAAATCTCAAAACAAGCACCAAAAAACATGGTAAAAAGAAAGTTTGCAAAATATTTACCTATGTAAAATTTTCTCCTGTATAATATTCATGCACGAACTAAACATGCTCTAAAAAAGCTTTTGTGAATGTTTTTTTTTTTTGGAAGTTTTTGGAGAGTTCCACTTTGAAGAAGATCAATTGTGAATGCCTCCGTTATGCATTAGATTCATCTTTTGTCAAATATATAGACAAACAAAAAAGAGTTCCTACTAATGCATTGATCTTTTCTGTAATAAAAAAAAAAAAAAAAAAGAACGCACGTGGATTGTATGTGTTGTTTTTTTCTTCTATGTTTTGTATTTATAAATATTTGGATTCGTTTTAATTGATTTATGTGCGTATCAGGAGCCTTCCTGTGGTGCTTTCATCCCAAAATTGGAATAATGCTATGTAACTTTTTGTTAGTGATCACAATATTTAATAATTTATATAATTATTGCTTAACAAATATCTTTCCAATGTAATGATCCAAGGGTTGAAAATAGATAATCTTAATTTATCAAAAATATCTGAACAGATTATTAAAGTGAATCTGAAAATCTTTGAGTGGTTAACAAGGCATTTAATTGTAATTGGTAATCAGTCAATCTTTTGAAAAGATGAAGCTCATGAACAAAAATTACATAAATCAATACATGCCAGGTTCTTTTTATGCATGGATTGATGGTGCGTAATACACCTCAGAAGCTTTTTGGGTATATTGATAAGGTACTCGACTGCAATTTGTTTTGCAAGTTTAGGTGCAATGTTCACACAAATTCAATACATATGTGTGTTTTTCTTAAAGGAGTTTACTTATGTGACAAAGTTCAGAGTCAAGTCTTTACCTATATGCTTCAATGAATTGGAGAAGATATTTGGCATGGATTCTTCGGATTGAAGCCATGTGGAAGGGGGCAGAAATATGTGCTGATGTCTTCCCCAAGGGTTCTTGGCATCTCAAGACTGTCTTCCTAAGCATCGAGTCTTTCTTTTCATTAAAGTTCTAATTGTTTTCTAAATCTTTTTTTTGTTTTTAATGTTGTGGGACAAATAACAATGTTGTTTTATTGTTGAATGAGATATATTTGTGAGGTTGGGATATGGATGCATCAATGGTGAATGTATGTTTAAGTAGTGTTCAAGTTATTACATGTTATTATTAAATGGGTTGGTTTTTTATTGGTTGCATATGGATGTATTAATTGTGCATGTGTGTTTGTATGTTGTGCTGAAGCTATTATAACACAATCTAATAGAATACAAGAAACCAAATCCATAATTGCGCGGATAGATATGAGTGTGCATGCGTGTGTGTGCACGTGTGTGTGAGGAATAGCGAGAGAGCTAGAGAGAGTTTGTAATCAGTTTAAGAAGAAAGTCATCGACAACCTACATATGAAATTTAAACACCTATTCTACTTCATATTTGTAAAAATACTCAACAAATTGTATACCCATGATAGTTAAGAAAATATATTGATTTCTATTTTGAGACAGTTGATTAAGAAACTAATGATTGGTACATAATAGTGAACTTCTTTAGGAACTTCCAATTTATAGTTCATGAACTTGTTTCCAGTTATCAAACATGCCCTTATTGGTCTTGAGAAGCCACTACCTCAACCTAGCCGCCAACCATATGAAAGAGTAAATGAGGCATGTCGGGTACCGATCGACCTCAACCCAATTAGGTTTAGACCTAGGCCCTACCGAGACCTAAGTCAAGTCTAGCTCAACTGGGTCAAGGTCTAGAAATAAAAAAATATAATAATTTTTTTGATATGTTTATATCTGGTTATTATATATATTTTTACTACTATATCAGGATTTAAGTCACGTTGGATTGACCTGGACTCAACCTGATAGGGTCCAAGCTGAACCCCTACTTAGCTGAAGATCAAACGGAGCCAAACCCAAGCCATAGTATCCAACGTCTAGGTCTAGACCTGGATCAACCGGATTCATTTCCCACATATATGTATAGGTGCGTTAGAAAAATAGAGCTTTTAAACAATCCAATCAAGGGGTACTTGTAATTTATCATAAATGTAATTTTGATATAAATTTTTTTTCAGATGGCTTGATATTCTATTTTCATATTTAATTATGAAATTTTAAACTATAAAAATAGATCAAATCAAGTAGATTTATAAACATATGAAAATCTTGAAAATGGACGGTCCAGATAATGTGTTACAAAATATACTATTTGGCAAACTCAAAATCTTTTTTTCTTTTCATATTCATACATCGGGAGATGATCAATTGTTTTTGAGGTGTACCTTTAATTCTACATGCAATCTTATATAAACTTTTCCGTAAAATAACGCCCTCATACATAAGTAAATTTAGAGGGATCTGAATAAGTGTACATAATCTCAATAACTAGTTTTCCTCTTATTCTAAAATGGATTTAATATTTTAGATGGAAAATTCTCTCATTAGAAAGCCTTTTGACCGACCATGTAAAGGTATAGTAGGCTCGCGCGGAGCATGCTATAAGCGATGACATGGAATTCAACCAGAAGTTTAATTCCGGGTCACTCGTGACCGAGTCGTCAGCCTTTTAGTGTTCTTTTTTCCTACCGAAACGTTACACCGAGTTGATTTGGATCCAGAGAGAGAGAGACTTTTGTCGTAAGTCTTTCAATTGAGACCTTAAAGTCCAACACGTCGTACTCTCCATGGAATTTTCTGCGATTTACAAGGAAGCCAATGGCGAAGTTTCAGTTTCAGTTTCTAATCCACCTTTACTCAGAAACTCCCTTAGAAGACTACTAATGCACCTTGACTATGGGTGATTATAAATGGGTACGTCCATTTAGCTCGAAAATTTAACTATTTATCTCTTTGTCAAGATTGCCCCTCTTCTTTAATTTATGGGGTTCAAATTGTGAAGCCCATTGTTAACAATGCCTGCCGTTTGAGTTAATTTGCTTATTTCTCTATTTACTTTTGCCTTGCCCACTTTATGCATGCAGATTACCTTTGGTCTTTGGTCACTTCAGAGGAATTTAGGCATGCTTTCTGGAACCAGTGGAAATCAGTTAATAATTTCAACTCTCTTTAGAACAATTATATCTCTGGCGGTTTTGAATCGGGTTCTCAGTAATTAGAGAAGCTTTGTCTTTGTTATGAGAAGCAAAAGAAAGATTTGGTACTTGCAATACTATTAATCAATGATTCACAGTTGGGCGTATGTGATTTCCTCTATCTTGAATTTTACTCCTATGAAGGGAATTTGTGGTTTTTCTTACCTTGATTTTGTTTTCTAATTTGCGGAAGTGGGTAATAGTGGTTTTTCTCCTCGGTCCTTCGCTTTTTCTGTAGGGTCAAAAGTGTTTTTGCTCTTGGATTCTTTAATTTTTTATTAGAGGAGAGGGGAAGTGGGTTTCATATTAAAATCTGAAAATGGAAAAATTGACTGTATGCATGCTGTGTAAGAGCATACTGGAGATTGGGTTCATGCATTAGCACCTGGTAGCGAGAATTTGCTAATCAGTTACATATCCAATATGGGTTTTCATTGATTAACAGGTGCAAAGGAGAAGGCTTTGTATGGTGATGTTCTGGGCCTGTGGTAGTGCTCAAATCTTGGTGAATGAATAATCTCTCTCTCTTGATTAGATGCATGCTTTAAAGAAAGAGATCTTGTTCATGACTGGTATAATGGAAAGTTGAAGCCCATTTAGGACATGGTTTAATTAAATTGAAGATGACATCACTTATGGAAGTTCCCATTGGTGCCCTCTTGTCACTTCTATTGGACCAGGTGATCAAAACAGCCAAAGCAGCCAAGGATGTTCTCATAGAGAAAGAGAGTTTCAAGATCTTATCTAAGTACCTCCATGACATAGAACCTGTCCTAAAGCAATTGCAGCTTCACGAATTGAAAGACTCGCAATCAGCTAGACGGGCTCTAGAATTTCTTTCAGAAGATGTCTCAACAGCACAATCCTTGATTGATAAGTGCACAAATAGGTCTCGTTTCTATCTTTTGCTAAAATGTAGACAAATAGTAAAGGAAGCTCAACAAGCCACAAGAGATATTGGAAGGTCTTTGGCTTCTCTCTCCCTTTCTGGAACTGAAATATTAGCTGATATGTCTGAGAAGGTGAATCAGTTGCACCATGAGATGCAGAAAGCTGAATTTAAATCATCAAATTCTCAGCTTAAGATCATAGATAAATTGAATCAGGGGATTTTGGAGCACAAGACTGATCAGGGGTTTGCAAATGACTTGGTCGAGGAGATAGCAAGAGCGGTTGGGGTGCCTATAGAGCCATCAGAGATAAGCCGTGAGATTGCGAGCTTTAAGCAGGAGAGAGAAGAAGCAGCTTTGAGGAAAGAGAGTGAGGAAGTATTCTTTTTGCAGCAGGTTATATCGCTACTTTCTCGAGCCGATGCAGCAAAAGATGAGGAGGAGATTGAGGCTTGCTATATTCGAAGGGTTCGGACTGTGGAGAAATATGGTGGAAAGGGAGACTTCATCCCTCCATTTAACTCTTTTATTTGTCCTTTGAAGAAGGATGTGATGATTGACCCCGTTAGTCTTTGTACTGGAACGACATGTGAACGTGCATATATTAAAGCTTGGCTTGATGGTGGGAATGATACTGATCCTGAAACTGGACAGCACCTTGATGATTTCTCTCTTAGACCGAACGTTCGAATGAGGGAATCTATTGAAGAGTGGGTGGAACGGAACTATTGCCTTAAGATTAGATCTGCCAAATCAGAGTTGCTCTTGGGTTCTGATGTGACTACTGTAGCTGCACTCAATGAACTGAAAGAATTTATCAATGATAACTCAATTAACAAGTACTGGATTGGGATTGAGGGGCTTGTTGATATCATTGTGTCGATTCTTGGGAATTCTCACAACAAAGATGTGAAAAGAGCAGTCTTAGTAACTCTACTGGTCATTGTGAAAGGGCATGCAAAGAACAAGGTGAGGGAAACTGTCTGTAGCCTGATATTTTTCACTTGAAAAATCCATCTTCGATTAAGTCCTCCTAAGAAAGAAAATGTAAAACCCACTTTCGTATTTTTCAGGTATACTTGTTTAAGGTACTATAGTATGTTATTTGTCGTTTTCAATTACTGTATGATAAAAACTTTTGGAGCTTCATTTGTTATTTGCTAGGCAAGAATCAGCATGCTATTTGAAGAGTATGTCTTCTGCTCTTGAAAAAGAATGTTATATTTGCAATGAAAGAGCTTATTGTGATGGAAAAAGATATTAAACATTTCCTAAGTTATCTTCATCTGGAATCTGGATAAATATAAAGTTGATTAGCAAGGAATACATAGGATGTAAAAAACATGGTACAAGGAAATATGTTTTTGTTGAATATTTGTGTGGTTTGGGTAGAGAATGTGAAATAATTTCCGTCAATGACATTTGCTCACTGAAAACTCTTTGTTGATTAGTTTGTACCTGCAGACTTTGTCAATCATTTAATTTATCAAAGGATACCTTGCATCCAAGGTATAAATTTATAGTTTATTAAGGAAGAAACACATCTTCAAATGTCTTTTATCTTTTTCTTACTAGAATGTTACTTTTTATGTGCCTTTTATATTCTAGATTTGATAATTTTTTAATTCATAGTGTCATCATATTCCTACTTTTCAACAACCATGGAGTTCTTTGATGCTCATGTTGATACTGTCTCAGTGGTCTCACTATCAATTTTTAGTGAACTCATGAATCACTTCTTTCATCTTTCGCGTGTTTGTAGTAAAACACACTCTTGTATAGGGCATTGTAGCATTTCATTTCTCTCTCGTATATCGCTCTATAGATCATCATCATCATTTTAGCCTTTTCCTAAATATATCACTTTGTAGATATGACAGATAATACTTTTCCCTCTTTTTTTTTCTTGCTAGATTTGTTGAAATTTGCTCTTATATGCAGGATAAAGTTGTGGACTCAGGAGGACTTGATTACATAGTACGTTGTCTTATACGTGATTCAATTACATCAAAGGCTGCAGTTGAATTGTTGTTTGAGTTGCTCCTTGATGGTTCAGGGTGGAATGTAGCGCTACTCAAGAAATTGAGTAAAAAAAAGAGTTGTGTTATATGCCTTGTCAATCTTCTGAATGGCGCAGTTGTCGAGTCATCTGAAAAAGCAGAAGCAATCCTCTTGAAACTTTGTGAAGAAGATGATGATAATATTAAACACGTGGCTGCTGCAAACTGGTATAAGCCACTTATTAATTGCCTTCATCAAGGTTTGAAATTCTTCTCTTGACAATCTCTGCTTTTGTTAAACCATTTTGATATCATTTCTGGATTTCTTACCCTAACAGAAATTAGATTTAGCTAATTTATGGATAAAGTTAACCAAAACTGACTAGGAAGTTTGTTTTGTATGAAATGCACATGCATTGTCTGATATTTCCATTTTTGACTGGTCATATCATTAGTATTGGCTGATAAGGTCATCTTAAAAGCTGCATTTCTCTCATAGTAACATATAGTTCATTGCAATTATGAGGTTTGTGGGTTTGATTTTGCAGATCCGGCATAAGAAATGAAAAAGATATATCTGCTTGATAAGTTGAAGCGCTTTCCTTTGCTTGTGTTGCTTCAAAATTCAGATAAACAGTTTGAAATTTTTCTATCTGGGAATTGATCCTGGGTCCTCACGATTGTAACAGTATTATATTGTAACCATTTTCTGCTTTTCATTAGTTTTTTACCGATAATAAAGGAAAGAGACTCTCCTAGATGAAACCAATGAGTAATTTCTAGTTTCCTACATTTCTGGTGGCTTGTGAGTCTTCTCACAATCCATGTATAGGCTGCATATTCTACTGAAAAGTCCACAACTCTGATTCAACTGTCCTTTTGCTATGAACCTCCTGAAAATCATATTTGTTTGGTAATTTTACTGATCTCTTTATTCCGTTATTTATTTGTGCCATTCTTAGGTCCAGAGTCCTCAAGAATATCTATGGCTGGTGCCCTCTCTAAAATGGAACTGGTAAACCAAAACCTAAAGCTCCTCGGAGAAGGAGGGGCCATTCCCTTACTGTTAGACATGTTAGCCAATGGCATTGAATCAAAATCAGCAGCATTGGGAGCTCTTGCAAAGCTTTCAGCTTGCCATGAAAACCGGAAACTCATAGCACAAGCAGGAGGGGTGCCCCTTATTCTTGACCTCCTTTTCACTCCTATTGTCCCCACCATTATAATAGAAAAATGCTCTGAGATATTAGCAAACCTCTCCTCAGCTAATGGCACCCGATTTCTCGTCGATTCGGAAGAATCCCCTCTATATTTGGAAGAAATTGTAACCAACTTAGTGTCTATTCAACAAAAACCCACCTTATGTGAAGCCATTCGAAAGTATATTCTCCTTGCCTTGCTTGGGATTTGCAGGTCAGAACCAGAGAGGACAGAAACCTTAGTTTCAGGTTCAGAGGGCCTTTCAGTCATCCTCCCTCTACTTGAGCACTCGAACCCAGAAACCCGCGAAGCCTCTGTCAAACTTCTCTCTTGTTTCTCTCATCTCGAAACTGATACAGTAACAGCCTTCCTCTCCTCCTCAAAAAGGGTTGAGGCCTTTGTTAGCTTCTTCGAGGATGAAAAGAACCCTGAATTACAAGCGGCAGCTGCTCAAATTCTCTCTCTTCTCCCAAATTCAGATATCTCACTGACTGAGAGCCTAATTGGATCAGGAGCCCTTCCCCATCTCATCAGAATGCTTAGGTTTGGTTCCTCAGAAGCTAAGGAGAAAGCTCTTGGTGCAATCATCAGGTTCACCGAACCATCCATGGTGGACATGCAGAGGATGGTAGTTGAAATGGGGGTCTACCCATTACTTGTGGAGTCGCTTCACTCTGGTTCTTCTCTCTCTAAAACCAGGTCAGCGGCCACAATGGCCAATCTCTCTCGAAGCACTCCTAACCTTAGCATTGCACCAGAGGGAAGTGGGTTCTTTTGCTTTGGCCTTAATCGTTCTCGAACAATTCTGTGCAAGGTCCATGGTGGTGTATGTGATTCTCTCACCACTTTCTGTCTGTTGAAGGCTGATGCACTGCCTGCTTTGGTGAAAGTCTTGAGAGAGAAGGCAGGAAGTGCAGCAAAAGAGGCAGTTGTTGCTTTGGCCACCTTGGTTTGTGAAGATGATATATGTTATGGGGCTGCATGGGCTTTGCATGAAGCCGGAGCCATTGACCCATTGTTGGATATTTTGTTATGGGGGACTTCTGATACTAAAGAGGAGGTTGTTGGTCTTTTGGAGAAGGTTTTTACAGTGAGGGAAGTGGTTGACAGCTATGGTTTGGATGCTAAGTTATCGCTCGTAAAGTTGAGCATGCAGGAGCATGAGAATGTGCATGTGCGTAGCAAGGCCATGAAGGTGTTATCTCAGCTCGAACATTACTAGATCGAGGCCTTTAACCTGAAGAGAGAGAGAGAGAGAGAGAGAGAGAGAGTCT